ACACACACACACTCCTGTCACACACACTCCTGTCACACACACACTCCTGTCACACACACACACACACACACACACTCCTGTCACACACACTCCTGTCACACACACTCCTGTCACACACACACTCCTGTCACACACACACTCCTGTCACACACACACACACACACACACTCCTGTCACACACACACTCCTGTCACACACACACTCCTGTCACACACACACTCCTGTCACACACACTCCTGTCACACACACACTCCTGTCACACACACACTCCTGTCACACACACTCCTGACACACACACTCCTGTCACACACACTCCTGACACACACACTCCTGACACACACACTCCTGTCACACACACTCATGTCACACACACTCCTGTCACACACACACTCCTGTCACACACACACACTCCTGTCACACACACTCCTGACACACACACTCCTGTCACACACACTCCTGTCACACACACTCCTGTCACACACACACTCCTGTCACACACACACTCCTGTCACACACACACTCCTGTCACACACACTCCTGACACACACACTCCTGTCACTCATCACACACACACTCCTGTCTCACACACTCACTCACATACACACACACACTTCTGTCACACACACACACACACACACTCCTATCACACACACACTCCTGTCTCTCACACACACACACACACACACACACACACACACACTTCTGTCACACCCATAATAACAATAAATGCGTTAATGCGATAATAACGCGTTAACTTGCCCAGCACTAATTAGAATGAATTATAATTTAATCTACATTATATACATACAGAGAGTGACATGTAATGGAAGTTAAAACAATTACATAAAATAATTATAATTACATAATAGCAGAAGCTTTAATAACTGAATATTCATCAGCGTTTACACTTTTTCTAAGGAATGATGTGGATCACAGGTTGTCGTTTTTTAAATATATTTTTTACTCACAAATAGCAATTTATCAGCAATTTTTACTCAATAAAATATTTTACAGCTTGTCACGTTATATTAATTATAAAATATTTCCATAACTTTTTATAATTTACATTTTTTTTAATTTTTTACTTTAAAATTGTATTAATTTCCACGTCTTTTAATGATTTGATTAGTTTCTGTGTCTTGTTCAGCTTATCTCTGGTCTTATCTGGCGCCCCCTGCTGGACAAACACTGCTCTATGCTTGTTTATCAGTCCCTCCAGGATTTCACGATTTTTTTATGTGATTTTTGCGATCAAAATGACTGATTTTGTGGTGGTAATTTCCAAAAATGTGTGAAAAATTTGCGATTTTTATATTTTATAATTAGGACATCACATTTACCATAATAGTATTATGTCAGATGCACAATAGTCATACATGACACAAATCACAAACAAAATGCATAAAGCTTGTTTATTTGGTCTAATCAAATTCTTTTTAAAAAATTGTGTTGTAGCCTATTGTTGTTGCTTGATTAACATTAACAACAGCAGGTAAATTCGGTTACTGTCACTTTAAGACCTACTACAGTAATGACAAACGTCCCAATCAGTTATTACTGATCGTTTTACGTAAATACTTGCCAAGATGAATATTTTGAAGTAATTGTAGCTATGTGTATTTGTTCAAGCGCTATAAAGAGAATTCAATATTCTAACTAGGCCGACAGGCGGTGACATGCAGTCAGTCAGTCACACACACACACACACACACACACACACACACACACACACACACACACACACACACACACACACACACACACACACACACACACACACACACACACACACTTGCAGTCAGAGACAGACTGTCACTCGACTGGCTGAAATTAGTTATCTTTCACGGTATACTGCGCTTTTAATAATTCTTTTTAGTACCATCGAGCATATAATACTTTTTGTTATGTCATTCAATCATGTTAAACGCGTTAATAAGTTTGCCGTACGCAGTGGCGCCTCCAGAAATTTTTCATAGGGGTGGCCAGATGGGGCCACTTAAAATCTTGGGGTGGCACACCAAAATTATAAACCATAATTTAAGAATTTTATTCTACTGTTGTAGTAAACCGGCCTGTAGAAAACTATCAGAAAGACTTAAGGAAACTCCTACTGATATACTTTGGTTTATTGTGTTATATTTAATGTTAGCTTACTAATGATATTAGTAGGGCCCTACTACTTATATTATATATAATGATATATATTATATGTGATATATATAAGAGCCCTCGCCCCGCTGCAAATTTCCAGATACTTACATAATTGTGATGATTTTAATCCTTTTTAAGTTATTATTTTGCAGTGTAAGATTACAGTTAACACCTTTAAATATTACATAAATGTACTGTGAATTTTTAATAAACTTAATGCGTGTATAAATCAGCAGCAAAAAGTAATCCTTGAAAAAAGCTGCACAGTAATTTTATAAAATCTAAATATGTTAATAAAAACAAATTACTATTAGTTCTCTTATAAAATTCAATCAGGCAATCATACACATTTCACAATTTTATATTTAGCCTATATATTAATGTCAAGAATTCAGAAGTGCATATATAGCCTACACTACAAAGAAATAATATACAATTAAATTATGCTTATTTTAAATGTATTGAGCAGGCTAGGTATAACAAAATATATTGGCTTTTAAAAATATTTCAGTGCGCAAACCCATGATAACATGAAAAACAGAGCGCACACAGGTGTATGCGCATCGCGGGTGCAGAATGATGTGCTCAAAGCAACATGGTGACTCTGTGTGTGCAGCGCTGCGCTGCTTAAGTGCGCATTTAAAAGTTCACGTCACAAAGCGAAGAAATGTCGAGCGCACAAATCCTAGTGCGATTTGTTCCTTTGTTTCAGTTTTATATTCCAGTTATTGTGCGTTTGATGCTGATTCATAGTCCTTGTGATGTGTGTGTGATGATCTAGCAAGCACACGGTAGTGTCGTTTAAAAACAACAACAAACTCCAACAAAATAAAGTAATTTTATGCAAATCTACAGCCTTTTATCTACAGATCATGCATTATAATGTGAATATATCATATTGGAGAGAGTTTTACACTGCGTTCCAAGAGGCGCGCGCGCTGTTTGAATATGAATGGAGAATGATTGACAGCCGCAGAGGAAGGAAAACGAGTTTCCGTATACTTTAACGATGTAAATAGACTTCTGTCCCTCACATTAAGCTATGGAATAACTTCAGATGACTTTGTCACCCAAACTGACGTTAAAAAAGCGAGAGGGGCCGAAAATTTCCGCGCGCTGTTTGCATCCCTGCTTGTCAAAACGTGGCAAAGACACATCAAAAAGCTGCTGTAACAGTATAGCCTACTGTAACCATTTGACACTTAAAAAGCAATATGCCACATAATGCCCCGACACATAATGCCCCTTCTTCTTTTACTAAAGAATATTTTTGACTTATTTATGAAATGCATAACTGATGCTACTAAAATTTATTCTGGCCATTGGGGTGGCCAGTGGGGTGGCCAGGAGTCGGCAAGGGCCACGGCCACCCCTGGCCACCCCCTGGTGGCGCCATTGGCTGTACTGCCTAATGAAAACCTGGGCGCTGAGAGGGCAGGAGAGACGCTTTTTCTTTCGCCATGTTTCTGACAGACCGCTCACAGACATCACGCTGTGCGCAACATCTATTCTGTAATCTGTACCCACGTAAAAATGCATTGAAACTTTAATTAAAGCTGCAGTCCGGCATTTTTCCTCTTTGTCGCCATCTCTGTTCGAAATCTGCAATTGCAGTCATTCGCGGAATTATCAACTTTACGTGGGTTGTAGTTCAACACCCTCGACACGGCACAGCGCGGATGAACACAGTGTTTGAGGAGAGTGTGCAGCTGTCAGTCACCGCGCCGATGTGGATATTGTCATTCAGAATCACGGATTATTCTTTTTGGAAGTATGACCAACATAAGAATTTTCACCGGGAAATGTCATCTGAACTAGTAAGAAACATTCACTTTTGTTCTGGTTCTGACATTGCAGTAAATCGCGCTGATTAAATCTAACAATTGCTTATAAGTTATCATTTCACGCAAAACCGTGCAAAGTAGCTATACTATGTTCTCAAATTGTTAATGTTAACAACGTCAGCAAGCATTGCGTGACTACATCATGTAATGTCCTTCCGATATTATCCTTGTTTTCGCATGGGTCCGGTTGCAGTCTCTTTTTTTCTGTAGCCACTCCGAAGTCCGAACGAAGTCTTTTGCATGTTAATAGATCACTAGGGTAGCCAGAAAAGAGTCTCTGGGTGTGCATAAGAAAAACTGGGTGTGCCACATTTATTGTCAGATTAATGTGCAATAAACCCAGACTTTGCCTATCTCTACAGAATAGACTGGGCTGATGTGTAAAACTATAGGCTACTCAGCGCCAAATAACCATAATACTATATAAAATATAACTCAGGGCTCGACATAAAGCCTCTTCATGTGCTTGTCCTTCGAACAAGTAAATCGGTCACTTGTCCAAGTAAAAAAATTACTAAAAATGCAATAATAAAGCAATATTCTCATCAGTGTTGAGTCAACTTTGACATATTTAAATCTGCATATTTATGATATTTTAACCTTTATAAAGAGCATTTTTCCTTAATCGTTTTAAATATAGCCTATTCTTCATCTTTCATTTTAAATTCTTAAATTTGATCAATAAATTAAATTAAAATAATAAGACACTGGCTGCTACCAATCAAATTAAATAATTTACAGTGAAAAATTACAATGGCATTAAATAATGTTATGAGATTGTTTTAAATGTTTTTTGAATATACAAATATGAAATATTGGAAAGAATGATACTTTTAAACACAAAACTAAACCAGCAATAGGTGGCGGCAGATCGCCGTCTTACTGAGTGAGTCGTTGAGCCATTTATTCAAACGATTCTTTCAAAACGCTAAATTGTTTAAGAATGAGGCATTTGTTTAATGGGCCATTGAATCTTTGACTCAACCGATTCATTCAAAACGCTGA